TGTATCACCGAGAAGAAAACACGTACGTCAATGATTGATGTGGCGACGGAAGCTCCGTCGGTCTGTCTGGTGGGTGTCAGTTCGTAGCGAAATGTGATCATTTAATCGTTGACTCATAGCACCGAAAAGCTACTCTACAGGTGGGATGGACAGCGGAAAAATGATGACTCATATTGTCATACATCGAAAAACGGGCGATCATGAGACAAAACAAGCATGACAAACAGATTTTTTATAGGAATGGAGGTGGTTGAGTGAGAAGGAAAAGGAAAGGCTCGTCACATTAAGACCGCTTTGATAATATATACGGCCAGAAAACGGTGTTGTTTAGTACGAAGCTTGAAAGCCCTGCTAGAGTCAAAGAAAGTACCTGAGCGGCACGGCTATTGCACCTATGAATCGACCTCAATAAGGCTTGAATAAAAGAAATTCATGTAGTTTCCTTGCCCAGGAAAAAAAAACAGACGCCCGTTGTGCACCTCCCTACCTTCATTTTTTATAGCTCATTATAATGGCCACTAATTTATGTACAACTTTATTATTGTTGATGAAAATATTGTGCTCCGGATCCGATAGAGTGCATGTCTAGTCGTGGAACATGAGCAGTGCGAAATACTGCGAGTAAAGGAGCCTTCACAGTCATGAAGTGCTGGCCATTACCGCCTGCGCTAACGTCAACTTGCTAATGATCATGGAGACAAGAAAAAAGCCTGGAGAGATAGGGCGTGATCGAGGTAAGCAAACCAGCCCTTTTGGCGTTTCGGCTGGGACCGTATGCTGAATGGGGAGGGGATGGGGTCGACGGTTTACTTCAACTCGGTTGGTACGATAGGAGAGTACTGACGCAAGTGGTGCAGCTGGTCCAGCAGCTCCGCCAGAAGGGCTGGTTTGCTCACCCCAGGACTAAGCCTTGGAGAGGGGACGGACCCGTCCTCTCTTTAAGGCTTAGTTCTGAGGTAAGCACCAAATTGTGGCGGTTTTAAGGACCGAGTTGAAGTAGTCCGTCACCGTCGGGGACCCCATCCCCTCCCCAACATTCAGCATACGGCCCCAGCAGAAACGCCAAAAGGGCTGGTTTGCTTACTTCGGGCGTGATCTATGTCAAGGGTCAAGGGCATAACCGTACGGTCACACGTATCGCTTCTCAACCGTTGGCTTCATCTATTACTTTTCAGTTTTCCCTTATATGTACTTCATGACAGGCACCACTAGCAATATGTTGCCAAAATTAGCCATATATGCTGTAGAGGAGTGGTTCGATCCGTTTGAGAATCGAGAAACGGTAAATGAAAAATATAGATGGGGTGAAAAAAGCATGTCGGTCAATCCTTTTACGGACATGCCGCGCAACGCGTCTTCACTCAGAATCATAAGGGCGGGTTTCTGGGTCATTCATCCCCTTGAAGTTGTGATCATATTGGACAAAGTGTGATCCGGGTTTTGACGCTCGAACTATGCACGCATAAGCGTATGCAGAACCGTTATACACAGTCAAATCTGCGCCTCGTGATGCAAGTAATGCTGAAAAAATGTCGCCAAATCAAGCGATATTTCCGCTGCTGAGAAAGAACCCCGTTCCATGATGTCAAAACGCTCATTCGAAATCTGAGTTTACTCAAACCCTCTATCGAATTCACGAAAGGAAGGCTAGTATGTAACTTAAGAGATCGCCACTATGATGACAAATACCATCAGTGAAGTTCAATCATATGCAAGGTTTCTTGGAAATATCCTTCCAAACGCACAAGCCGCGTTTGCGAGTTTCTCTTGACGTGGAAAAACTACCGTAGACCTAATATGCCAAAATGCTTATATTTTATTGCCATTTGGTATCGAAGGGCGCTTCCTAGCGACCAAGGCAATTGCCTTTCGTATCCTCTGGTTACTCCTCGGCTTTCAAAGTCAGTCTTTCTTAAGAGTCTCTTGCTGAACGGTTTCCATGGGTTGGATGAATTAAGCGTCTTTAATAGTTTCTTTTAAGGCTACTGCTCACTTCATAACTGTCTTCTTCCCTTTTATCTGTATGCTTCCTTTTAATTCTCGTGTTAGCGATTTCCTGCCCTTTCATAGTACATGGCGCAATTTTGAACGCACTGAGAAAATAAAAATGCAATAAGCTTAATCAATAACAAGCTTCTTATTGGGTTTGGTCCGACTTTTCTATGAGTTTCATATTTTGAAGGGTTGAC